TTGGCATTCAGCAGTTTATTATCTGAGCCTGACTGACATATTTCCTAACAAGCCAGTGTTAGTTTTCACACTGGAAGGAAACTAACAATGTTTGATTACTGCAATGATTCGAGACCCTTTCAGAACTCCAAACAGAAGCAAAGCTGTGCTATACACACACAGCTCATCAAACATTGTAAAATGCTACCTGGCTGACAGGGGGATTTTTGTGTAAGCTGTCAAGGTAATCCTGATATTCACATCTCCTGCAAGGAAGACCTTCAATTTTATTCATCTGGCTTTACTACAGATTTAAATAAATAGCAACCAAGTTTTTTTAAGTCAGTACCATCCTCACTTATCTCTTGAAATCAAAACATTCAGAGTTTTCTTCTGAAAACATTATTTTTCTAGTGAATGAAATAAAAGTGCACATTCAAACTCTAAATGTAATGAACAAAAACATCAGATAGGTTTAAAAATCTGAACATAAACTTGCTGGCAAGGATCTACAGATGCAAGGTCTGGGTTCTCTAATGTTTGGTAGAATTTTCCCTCCTGCCTCCCACAGTAACTTCTTCCTTCCCCCTGTATGTGGAAGAAACATGGCTAGAAATATTAATTTAATGTGCAATATGAATCTGGGAGGAGTAGCGTTTTGTGTTTTGTTGGCTGTGCAAGAGTTCATTCCCCTGTTAGTCAGCTTTTTGGTATGACCTCACCACAACGATCACACTTGAGAGAACACAGAATTTCTGTTGTTCTACAACATCTGCCCTGCAGGTAGGAAGGAAAACAGCAAATCTAAAGAAAGCCAGCAGAGGATAAGGATGCTAGAGGTAAGTCACACAGAATCAGTTTAAAAAAAAAAAAAAAAGTTCAGATTAAAATGAATTTAGTTTCCTTAGTTCTCTAAGTCTCATCAAACCTCTCTGATTACATATTTCCTTTCAAAACCTGTTATGCTGAAAGCATGCAGAAACACACCAGAAACTCTAATCAGTCTCCTTCCACATGAGCTTCATGTACATATGTTCTATACCAACTACTCTTAAAAACCTAAGGTTTACTTGCTTGCTGCAAAAGTCTCCAAGACTTACTGAAGAGAAAAAAAGGATAGAGGGTTCTTTAGTTGCCAGCAGCACCCAAGGATAAAAACAGAAATACAAATATTATACTGCAGCGATTAATTATTTTATTTTAAATTCCCAGTTCTATAGGTAAATTTCACTGCTGTTCCTGGACAACTTTGTGATTCAGTGACTTCCACTACAGATTGTTTCTAGAGGCCATGGCACCAAGCTTCTTAAGGTAACAACATGGAAGCTGTTTCAGGTTTACAGAAAGTACAATACTTCATATTTGTCAAGATCACAGGCTATCTACAACTGCTACAAATACCTCTGTAATGAATGTCTGGTCAGTTTTTGGAAAGGGATATTGACAGTTATGGGAACCAAGAGTGAGCCTAAGTTAGGCAAAAAAACTCAGTGACGACAAGGAAAAAAGGAAAGGGAATACTAAGAAAAGGCACCAGAGCATCATTTGGTTTTTAGCTCTGGTTTCATGTTTGTCCAAATAGACAAGAGGTATTTGTCAACCTATGCAGCTACAGATCTTCAAATAGAGAGGCACAAAAATCAATACAAGATGGTTAAGCCTTCCCTGTGATGAAACTGTGGCATCAAAAAAGCTGATTCTTTGCACAAAGTGTTTTAACTTAACTAACATTTTAACTAGGATTAAAAAAAAAAAAAACAAACAAACCTGACAACAAACAAACCACAACCTCAAAAAACCCCAAAAACCCCAAAAAAAACCAAAACAAAAAAAAATCCCACAGGAAAAAACCTCCACCCACATGCCTGAAATAAGATGAAATTATGTAAGAGAAACAAATGAACAGTATTTAGACCTTCTGCAAGGAGGTTTATAGACAAGCTGATACAGACAACCAGATCAGAGACAATCAATATATCCAAATATCTGTTCATCTTCAACACTGTTTAATAACTTCAGTGACAACCTGAAACTTTCAAGAGTTACTCTAGGCACTAGCCAGGTAAACTTCACTCACTACATCCCTATGAACTCTCCTCTTTAAAGTCCTCTTGCATTTGCTTTCCCATCTAACCTGTGTGTGATGATCACATCCCAATCAGCTCCTCTCCTGATCCCATTTGCTGTTCCCTCTTATCCCTGACTGTCTTTTCCCTTGTCATTCCCCACCCCCCAGTTATTCAGGTGAGGGTACCAGGTCACTTTGTCCCACCACTTCAGTAGGCAACACTCTTCCCCTTGGTTCAAGGGAATCAGGCACACCTCTGCTCAAACTCAGTGAACAGCAGCAGTGCAGAGAGATGATCTCACGTACGAGTGAGAAACATCTGCCAAGTGAGGTCTTGTTCTAGTTTTATCCAAGGATCAAACAATTTTTGAAGAAGTAGATCTAAACTTAAACATAGGGATCTAGCAAGAAAGTGTCAGTCATAAGAAGTTCTTCCCCCAAATAAGCAGGAAAAAAATCTCAGGGAAAAAAAAAAAAAAAAAGGAAGCCCAAAATAAAGATTAGCAGACACTCATTTGGGGGGGAAAAACCCAAACAACCAAACAAACCCAAACAACCAAACACCAAACCAATCACCACAGCCCACTAAACGGCACACTAAGATCAAAGAGCTACCATGACTAAAACTAGACAGGAAAGCCTTTTTGGTCAATGCAAACTGTGTTGAACTGTTGATTTAAAGAACACTTAATGCTCAGCTGAAAAGTCAACTAGCAGCTTTAGATTCATGGCAGACATTGATATCTAATACTAGCAGAAGGCATGAACCTATTTGGAAGAAACTTCTGTTTTCAAAGTTATGTTTACTCCCTGTTTACTTAATCCAACTTGCTTTAGCATATCAAACCACAAATACAGGCCTCGTCTGGAGAAAGAATGCACCAAACAGGTTATGGCTCAGGATCTTGAGAGCCATAAAATACAAGGTCATGCTTTAAATTCTCTTAGTAGAGGATCTGACAAATCTTTCCTGTTTGAATTAACCTTTGCTGAAACATGAGACTTTCAGTTTTACTGTGTGTTTTACCTCCATTCCACATACCACTGCTTTTTTGTCATACTACATCATAATTTGTCCGTTTTAAGAAAGTGAGAATTTTCTTGTTTCCTTCTGATCTGATACAGGCAATCTAAGCAGTGCTGACTGGAAAGTAGTGCCTATTAAGAAGAGTGCTGGAGAAGCTACAGAATAATCCTCACTTAAGAGCACAGACCTGCGAGGAACGCATTCCACTGGCTATGGAAGAGCAACACAGCGCTATGAAACAACACAAAACAAAAAGTCCAAAGCTCTGTAACTTCTGCATTCCTGATACAATCAAAACATTCAATTTCAGCAAAACAAGTGCAAAAGTACTTAAGACAGACTTTAGAACAACAAACAACGTAGAGGTAGAAATTTAAGGAATGAAGCATCTCCATCCCCTTCGGATGCTAGCTTTCTGATATATTTAGCTGTTTTCTTAGAAACTCCTAGAACTGAGCAGCATGGAACAAAAATAGCCAAAATGATCTTGACTTTTTTCCTTGCAGCTTTCTCCCTGCCAAAGGATTCAAGAAAAGGACAGTCAGTAGGTTCTCAGCCTCCCATTACAGACTAAGTTTGCATCTTAGCTAGCCTATAATATTACACAATAATCAATTACAGAAATACGTTTTATCCCCCAAATGAAACAAATACTTTCTAGTAGTCAAGAGCACAGAAACACGCAGGCTGTCTGCATGGTTTGGGTATGTGACAGCTTTTACATCCTAGAGTTTAAGAGGAATAGGCATAGCTATCTGGTCTATTACAGATTTATTCTTTCATAGGAGGTATTAAATTAAACAGATAGCTATCTCACATCTAACTACTTCATAAAGCCTGTATCATGACACTGGATTTCAAACTGCACAAATAGTGCTTTACATTTTGAACTTAACTGCTTCGATTTTATCCAGGGACTGCTTTGCAACATTCAAAAATCACTGCAAGAAGTTTTACTTCTAAGATTGATCCTGAATTTTATTTTAATAAAGGTATCAAATTTTGGTACTTTCTGCACCCCTAAAGAGTTGTATCAATCAGAAAACTTCAAATATCATCATCGCTTGCAGCAGATCAACTTTGGAGGGCAACAGTGAACCACATACCACTGTAAAAGTGATTTTAAAAATCATCTTAAACATATACCACTTATGCAGTTCTAGTTTTAGGATTATCTCCTGCCTCAAGACTCAAGTTTCTATATCCACAAAAGTAAAATTTGTGATAGACAGCTAGTATCTTATTCTTGGACTATACGCTCTTATTCAGGCTTGCAAATAAAAAAAAAAAAATTAATACTTCTCTACTTCAAGGCCAGTCCTGAAACATGGATGAATTCACAATTAAATCTGTTACTTAGCACAGCTGACATGATCACATACTAAAGATTCAAACAAATACAACCCTTATTCCCGAGGAGATTTGTTCAGCTTAGGCATTTTTGCTTGGCTTATTAGAATCTCTTCAGAGAGTTTAGCTCCTCCTCCCCTAATGGGTTGAGAGAGTTCTGTAATAATCTTCCTGCAAAAATAAAGGTTTATTTCTCCTAGGCCGCAAACATAATTTCTACTACTGCACAGCTGTCTCAGAGGAGCTCCAAGGGGCTGAATGTTCCATCTCATTTCTGGAACAGCTGCACCATATGGTGCTGTGCAGAACTCTGCAAGTTGAGTAATTCCATTTCTGAAGGTCTCCTCACACTCTTCTGCAACGAGTCGGACAGCAAAAATTTTTTTAAGTTCAAGAAGAGTATGGAAAACACTGATTATTGTTACTGTATGCACCGTACATCAAAGACGTTCTGCAAGTTGAGTAATTCCATTTCTGAAGGTCTCCTCACACTCTTCTGCAACGAGTCGGACAGCAAAAATTTTTTTTAAGTTCAAGAAGAGTATGGATAACACTGATTATTGCTACTGTACGCACCGTACATCAAAGACGTCAGCCAGACTATCTTTTTCCAAGCGAATACATTTCCCATAGGTGTGGTTATAATTGCGAAGAGGAGCAGCAAGACGTTTGTTAATGAAACCAAGTTGTGAATGCCATGAGGTGCCGCAGCCCGGCAGCGGGGGGGCCCGGCAGGCAGGGGCACCCCGAGGCTGGCACCTGGCTCGGCAGCCCCGCAGCACAGCCCTCCCGCAGGGGACAAGCCTGGCACAGCGGGTCTGCCGGCACCAGGGCTCCGGGCGTAACTGCGAGGAATCCGAGCGGCACACACGTACTTTCCCATGAGCCCGAGGAAAGCAAATCGGGAACACCGAGAGCTACGCGACGAGGAACGCCGGTGTCATGAGTCCACAGTTACAGCCCTGCACAGCCAGAGGATAAATTACTCACGTCCAGCCAGGGTGATGTCATATGCACACAATCTTTGTAATTCTTAATTCCCTTACTCCCCACACACCCTCTTCCTTCCTCCTGTTCAACAGAGACTGGAAATGCAGCAGCTTTTGCGATCTGCCCGAACACTACGAGCGAGTCACGACTCCACAGTTAGGGAGAAAGGAGCAGCCAGACTTCACCGCCTCAGCCAGGAGCACCCGGGGGCTCCGCCACGTTCTCCTCTTGTTCCCCGACCCCCTCTCCGGGATCCGGGCAGGGCCGGGCGCTGCCCGGCAGGGGAGGCGCTCCTGGCCCGGGCGGGGACTCGCCGGGCGGCCCCGGCTTGTCCCGCGGGCGGAGGTCCCGGCCCGAAGCCGGACCCGCCGGGGCTGTGCCGTGACAGCCGCGGGGAACTTTGCCTGGGGCGCGCTGCCCCCGCCGCCGGACAAAGGGGCCGCGCCTCGGGCCGCCGGTGCCCCCCGGGTGCCCACCGGGCGGAGCGGGGGCACCGAGGGCACAGGGATGCGGTGCCCGGCGCTCCCCGCCCGCCCGCCGCTCACCATCCGGGAACTCCCGGTCGCTGATGTGCTGGAGGTGGGGGCCGCCGCCGCCGCCGGGATCCGAGTCCCCCGACTCGGCCTCCGCCGACCCCGAGACGCCGCCGCCGCCGACGCCGCCGCCCGCTGCCGCCGCCTGGTACGCGTCCGCCCAGCGATCGGGCCCCGGCGCTGCCCCGCCGCCGCCGCCGCGAGCCCGGCTGAGCTTGGGGCTGGCGTCCGGGGATACGCAGCAGGTGACGGTGTTGCCCATGGAGCTCGGCGCTCCCCCGCCGGGCCCCGGCTGCGCGGCTCCGGGCTGGGCCGGGGGAGGGGAGGCGGGCGCAGGGCGGGTCGGAGCGCGG